CTCCAGCCCTGGCTGTGGTCTGTACTCCTGGCTGTCAGCCCTATCCAGGGCTGTGCTGCCCACCCCCCACCACCAGCCCAGCCAGGGCTGCATTCTGAACTTGTCCAGTCTGGACTCTCTGGTCCAGCAATATCTGTGGTCTGATGTTGCCGGACCTGAGAGTCCTGGATTTTAGAGATTCAACCTGTAGAACCTCAGAGTTACAATTTGACTGATCAACCACTCACCTAATTTGGAACCAAAAGTACTCCATCAGGAAGTAGCAGAGATAAAAACTAAATGAAGTACAGCACAGATCTGTGTTAAATGTAAACGTCTGAAAAAAGGAGGAAAGTTTATAAAGAAAAGATTTGACACGGTAAGAAAATAGTTTCTGTGCTTGTTTCATTTAAATTAAGATGGTTAGAAGAAGCATTCACCTTCTGCATAGTAAAGTTTCAAAGCTTTATTAAATCAACATTAAGTTGTAAACTTTTGAAAGGATAACCATAATGTTTTGTTCAGAGTTATGAACAGTCTCCATTCCTGAAAAGTTCATAATTTTGAGGTCCTACTGTTCTTCTGTTCAGCTTAATTCCTTAGGAGCCAGAAGCTGATTTCATAGCATCTCAAATGCAAAAGACCTTTTCATGTGACTATTACAGGATTTCCTACTTTCAATATAGCACATGTTGATAGAATATTGTGAAGACCAAGAATGAAACAAGGTGCAAAAAAGAACTAACATGATGAGTTAATGAAGGATAGCTCCATCAGTTGCTATTATCCGGGAAAGACAGGAATAGTGTCCCCAGCCTCTGTTTTCCAGAGGCTAGGAATGGACAACAGAGAATAGATCACTTGGGGTATGTCTACACTACCCTCCTAATTCGAACTAGGAGGGTAATGTAGGCATACCGCACTTGCAAATGAAGCCCGGGATTTGAATTTCCCGGGCTTCATTTGCATAATTTGTTTCACTGTGATTTTTTTTTGTGAGAGCCAATATCAGATCTCTTATGCTTATTTTTTTTTAATCTTTCAGTTTTAAATGTAACAGCCACTAAGTTGTCTACGAGGAGCCTAATCCGAACTACCTAGTTCGTGCCGCGTGTAGCCGTGGACACGGAGTCCGAACTAGTGGACATTTAAAAATGGCGGCATCTGGCAATATGCAAATGAAGCCCGGGAAATTCAAATTCCAGGCTTCATTTGCAATTGCGGATGAGTATATTACCCCCGCTAGTTCGAACTGGCGGGGGAGTGTAGACATATCCTAAGTGTACCTCACAGCAGCTAGTCACAGGTGTCTTATTTTAATATATTTTATTCCACATATATGGACTGCTTAAAATATATGTATATATGGTGTGTGTGTGTGTGTGTGTGTGTGAGAGAGAGAGAGAGAGAAAATCACACACTGTGTGTTTTGTTTTTATTGATGGTGTACATCAATGACACACTACCTCAACATAAGAACATTCAACCCACCCAAGGATAGAAAATATTAGAGGGAACACTGTTAGATGGAGCTTTGGTTGACCCACTATGGCCATTCTTATGTAAAATTCCTAGACTTTCCCAAAGAGAATACTTTGCATATCTGATGCAATATCTTAACAAGGTTCTGAACTTTTCTTGAGTCCTCATTGTTTTATTTTCAATATCCTACAAAGTCCTAGGCAGTCACAGTTTGGCATTGATCCTGCCACCTTTGGATTACAACGAAAATTTGAAGTCTGGATAATTCTTAGGCATTTCATAGTTGTCAGTGGAGTTGTTGGCTTTCATGCACAAGAATTTTGAGGTTGATATAAAATAGAACTATTATCCAAACAGTCCTGGATTAAGTTTTGATTTAGCATTATCTAATTCAAAGTACACCTATCCCTACCCCCATTTTCTGCCTATCTCCAGTCTAGAGGAGCCATTACAATATATATTTTTATGTTACGTATTTCTGTTTTAAAAAACTAAATCTTTCTGTATTTTTAACCAAGGAAAACATTTTCAAACATTGCAATTTAATATAACTAATGAATAATTCTCTTTAATTGTCACCACTTATGTTAAACTGTAAGAGATCTATTATAGAAATTAAAGAATCCATATTTAATGAGTGCACCCACTACATCTATGTAACGAGCAAGATAATAAATCTGCAGCTCTCTCCATTTCTTCAGTCTTCAACAGATTCATTAACAGTGAGTTTTACCATTCAGCACAAACATTTCAATGTCAGTTTTTGATAACTTTAATGTTATGTAATACCATAGAAAGATCACGAATGGTTACCAATCCAGGCGCGAGGAGCCAGTTCTACATTGTTTGCGTCTTTATTGAATTAAGTGGGAATTTCAGCTGCACAAGAAATAGAGAGTTAATTTAAATTAAGTTAATTTAAACTAAACTTAAGTCTTCTCAGGCATTGAGAACAACAGGTTATGCTGCATAACTACTTACCTCATTAGGATAGTTTTCAGTATGGAAGCCACCTGCACTTACATGCTCTACTATTCTCACAGACTCATAATTTAAAATAGATATTATAGTTATCCTCAGCACAAAACTTGTGGCTTTTCTGCACAACCAGAAGGTTGCTGGCTCCTCTAGCCCCATGCCACGAAAGCCATCCACTCCTAAACAGGGGAAATTATTTCATGCCAAGAAGCTGATAATTAACAGCCTTACTTTATTTAACAGCCTTACCTGCATTTTGGTGTTCCTAAGGTTCTCTCTTGGACCACTATCTTTGCCCCAAGTTCCCTCTGGACAGAATGTCATTGTGTCCCCTTTTCATCCTTGTGGGATTCGCAAACTACAGCTGCCATAAGAAATCAGTGTCATTTACCCTGCAGCTAACTTGTTAATGGGGTGGGACAGTAGCAGAGCCCTCTAATACTCTGAAGGCTCACAAATCCAACCTTTGTTGCATAGGGAATCTAGAGATGCTGCCTTTAATAATAAAAGGGCATAATCCTTTTCTGAAACTTCTTGAGGTCTTTGCTGTGATGCTAATATCATTCAGTGGTAAGTGCCACAAGTTAATTATGATACATGAATTACATTTCATTTAGAAAGTTGCCTTTTTAATTTCAGCTGTGCTCAGAATTCAAGCCATATGCCCAAACTGACCTACACCCAGGATATTAAGTCTGCAAAACTTGTAAGGTTCCATTTGAAATCAAAATGTTACTTGTCAGGCTGAGGAAAGATCATATTGGTATACACTTACGGCAATTAGGTTTTCCTTCACTTGCTACATAAAGATATCTTCATTCCAATCTTTGAACTATTGGTTGAGGATGATGATAGTTGGGGGAATATGTGGAGCAATATAAAAATGAAGAACAAAAAAATGTTTTGTGCATGATTTCTGTCAGACTGGAGATTTTCATTCTGTGTTTCCTCTTTCACTTTATTCCATTTAGCAATTCCAAGGAAGCAGCTGGCATGAATGTCTGTGCTAATCTCTGCCAGCCAGAAAGGAATGCATTTGTGAAGGGAGAAGTCATCTGTTCCCCACCACTCACTGGGGATTAGATTGGAGCCTCTGCTCAAGTGTTTTATAATGCAGACGTGAAATCATTATGTGACTGTGGCGGGCTCCTCCTGCCTGACTCTCCCTCAGGACCTCTTAAGTCCAAGGCCCTCCAGCCTGAGTCTGAAACACAGTTTAGGGTTGTAGCGGGGACACACCCCAGGTAGGGGAACCCAGGCCCACTCTACTCCACCAGGGCCCTGTGAGTGACCGGATAGCAGGTAACTCCCTCGGTGGGGCAATCCAGCCAAAACGCGCTGAGGTTCTCGGGGCAGGAGAGGCGGTTCCCGCCCCTGTCCTGGGCCACTTCCTACCTGGTTCACTGCGGTTCCTTCCCATGTACTTGTCCAGCTTGCTGCGGCCTCTGGGCCGGTGTCTCCTCGGCGGGCGGTCTCTGGGGTGCACTAGCTCACCTCTGCGTCCCCACCAGCCTCTTCTGGAGTCTCTAGTGACCGCGGTGCAGAAGCTCCCTTCACTGGTCCTTCTCCTCCAGCTGCCACCCCAGACTGAGTCCTTCCCCAGGATTTTATGGTGGAGCTACAGCCCGGGCATGCTCGGTAGGGCTGCGGGGGAGAGGCCTCTGCAGCCAGGTAACTCTGGCTGGGCCTTGCAGGCTCAGTGCGGGGCTGCCTTGCCCCGTCACAGTGACACACTTGTATGACTCTAAATCATGACTAGGACATCTCAGTTAGAGTTTCCAGTCAAAAGCATTAAAAACATCAGAGGCCTGGTTCTTTTGTAACAAAGATTTCAGTTTGTAGACTTCTGTAGAATTGGCTCTAAGACTAACCATCTGGAAGGTTCAATAGTTCCTGTTTCTAACTGTGTTTGTCTGTACTGGACTATTTGTCTGGTAAATTAGTCACCTGTCAGAGGCATTTTACAAACTGGACAGTCTTAGTAGTTGATTTTTTTTTGAAGAGTCAGATGTCCAAATAAGCTAGGACTGCAGTGCTCATTGGACTTCCCAAATGGTCAGGAAGTTGTACATACATTTGGGTGAATTTTAAATTATTTCTTAATATGGATATCATCTACCAAGACCTCAAATTGGATGTAATTTGTCGGATGTGGAAGAGGTGTTTTGTTCAATATAACCTTCCCTCCCCAATGCAAAGCCTGTCTTGTCTCACCCTATCATTCTTATGAGGAATATGAGTATAAAAATGTCATCATGCAATTTCAGGTCTCTTGCTTAGTCCACATGTACAAAAAACAGATTTTGGTTTGCTCTGCCAGCTCTGCAAATTCACTTTGAGATCTGAAAATCAAGTTGGGTACTTTACATTAGCACTAAAACTTATCAAGTCAGAAATAAGAGAATTTGTCTCTCTTAATGCTCACGACTTTCCTTATTTGTTAGTAAAGTCTGGGGTTCTACCTAGATTAGAATTAGAAATGAGTGAGAACTTGCTCAGTATTTCTTAGATTGTAATGAAGATGCTGAATTTAAGATAAAAGTGCTTGTTGTCTCTTTCAGGTGCTGTAGCAGTCTTGATCCCTCGCCTAGATCTGGTGATTTCCTTTGTCGGAGCCGTAAGCAGCAGCACTTTGGCATTGATCCTACCACCTTTGGTAGAAATCCTCACATTTTACAAGGAAAACTTAAGTGTGTGTATAATAGTTAAAGACATCTTTATAGCTGTCATTGGAGTCATTGGCTTTTTAACGGGGACATATGTGACAGTTGAAGAGATCATTTATCCTGCTTCTACCATCTTAGTTAATGCAACGGAGAGCACCTTTGAAGATTTGAACACTTCAAACTTGGTGACTGGTTTTAATTAATGAAGAGAGAACCAAAAATCATTTTGTTCCTGGTTGTGGTTTCTGATTAGGAACAAAAGATCATGATAGAGCCTGAAGTTGGAAGTCTGGGCCATATTCAAATGAACTGAAAAGTTAATTTCTGAAAAATAATACACCTCTTTCCTTTTCTATATTTTTCTCCTTTTGCCCATTCTGTAACAACCACAGACCAGATCTCTGTGTGAAGTCTCTCAAGCAATCTCAGCTGTATCTAGAGAAGGAAAGGACTGGTTTAAGTGTCGATGTGGAAAGTATTTATATATGAATTGCACGTGCAACCAAATGTCATTCATCAGAAAAATAAAATGCCTACTAAGAGGAGTGAAACCCACCATGCTTCACACCAGCACCATGATGCCTATATACTGCTTCCATCTCATTAAAGGGGCTAAGTGGAACTTAAGTAGTGGATAGACCTGCTGGTTCTCAGTGAAGAGGTGAATTTCTCCCCAGTGGATAATAGCTACTTTCTATATAGCTTGGATTGTTAGTAATGTTTCCAGGGACCTGTAGACTTACTACCTGGAAGTACTTAAAAAACAACAAATAGTCTGGTAGCACTTTAAAGACTAACACCTATAGGTGCTTTGCTCTAATTACTGGGCACTAGTATGTCTTAAATCAATATGGTTTTGAGAAATTATTATGACTGTTCTTGCAGTCTTTTCACACTGGCATCTGTGCGAGATCTAAAGACATAAAATCTTCAGGGTTGAGGTCATAATGCTTAGCACGTGTTCTGCAGAACACCAGTGTCAGTAGTTTATGTGCCATTAGGCATGAGGTCACTTTTTAATGAAATCTAGACTGATAACAAGCACTTTACCTGAAGCTCCTTCATTCCAGTTCTGCAAACTGCTCTGTATGGGCAAACCCATACTCTTGGGACAACATTTCATCTGTGTTGCAGTTGCAGTTAAGGAGAGATTAACAGAAGATTTTTTTTTTAAAAGACCCAGGGCCTACGCAGTTGCTAAAAATATACCAAAATAAACTACTTACATGACCATCATTTGTGATCTTGGTGCTGTCACTTTATCTACTTCTGCATCAGTAAAGAGTAATTTTTTTCTGATACATTTTTTTCTGATGACATTCTGTGACAATACATATGAAATCTAATGGGCATAAACCAGCAGGTTTTAAAAATGACTTGCTCTATGACTTAAAATGTCACAACTAAGGCCCTGATCCTGCAAGCTGCTCTGCATAGTCAGCCCCATGAGTCTGCAGAAAGCCCCAGTGAGATGACTGAGGGTGTGTCTACACTGCCACCCTAGTTCGAACTAGGGTGGCAGTGTAGACACACCCTCAGTCATCTCACTGGGGCTTTCTGCAGACTCATGGGGCTGACTATGCAGAGCAGCTTGCAGGATCAGGGCCTTAGTTGTGACATTTTAAGTCATAGAGCAAGTCATTTTTAAAACCTGCTGGTTTATGCCCATTAGATTTCATATGTATTGTCACAGAATGTCATCAGAAAAAAATGTATCAGAAAAAAATTACTCTTTACTGATGCAGAAGTAGATAAAGTGACAGCACCAAGATCACAAATGATGGTCATGTAAGTAGTTTATTTTGGTATATTTTTAGCAACTGCGTAGGCCCTGGGTCTTTTAAAAAAAAAATCTTCTGTTAATCTCTCCTTAACTGCAACTGCAACACAGATGAAATGTTGTATTTTTCTATCTATTCCCAAAAGATTAGAGGGGTTAATTATATTTGTAATATAGTTACATATTCAATAGAATAATTATTTTTGCATTATATTCTGTCTTCAGCAATATTTAACATGCACATCATTGTATTTTACTCCCCACTTCTCCATTTTTGGAAAGAAAAAGAGTATCTAGGAAATCTGGTCATCCTTTTGCGTCAAGCCAATGCAACACTTAATCCTCCATAACAGAAAGCTCTATTTTATGTGCTCGTGTTGTGCTTTTCTTCCCTCCCCCTCAACCTTTGCTGAATTTTACCCTGAATGTCAAAACTAAATGTTATTTTACAGGCAGTCCCTGGGTTACGTCCAAGATAGGGACTGTAGGTTTGTTCTTAAGTTGAATCTGTATGTAAGTCAGAACTGTATGTAAGTCAGAACTGTATGTAAGCCAGATTCAGCCGCTGTTGAAACTGATTAGTTTCAGCAGCGGCTGAAACCGGACGCCCATTTCAAACTACCAAACAG